TTAAGCGAAGGTCATAGAAAATGCGACGACCCTTCATTTTGTGCTCTTTAAAATAGTATTGTATGCAAAAATAATCTTCTGTGACCTGAAAACTCCATTGACTATTGAAATCACTATCTAGATTTGAGCTAATGGCTTAACATTATAGAAAAAACAAAAATTTAACTTTTTCCCCACCAGTTTACTATTATCGAAAATCTTTTATATTTGTAGACTTGATAAATAGTTTCGATGAAATGATGAATCTATATAGTTATACAGTAGTTATGTATGATGAAAATCGATCATCGTACAATGATATTTTAAAATTCAATAGAGTGAGAAGTGCGCAATAATGCATCATTCTCAGAGTATATAAAGTGCGATTAGATTAATGAAACATACTACTTTTCTTTTACGTCTTTCGCTTTATATATAGATTTTTTTTTCTTTTTTCAAAGTGTATGCAATATCTCGTGCAAGAGATTAAGCATAAGAAATCTTGTAATGTAAGAAGGTTGTTTTCAGTTGATAGTCACTGAAAATAGTTCAAAATCTTCGAAAGTACTACGATTTTTCAAATACATAAATGGCAAATGTTCATTGTTTTTCCGATTTATAAAAGAGAAAAAAACAAAAAATACAGTGTCTAATTTCTATGTTGTTAAGGAAATATTATACTATATAATGAATTATGGTTAGCTTTTGCATGAACAAAAGCTCTCAACTAAATTAAATATGATGCTTACTTTAACTTACAATTAAAGAGGTACGGCATTTAATGGAAATATTAACTTATTTTTTTATATAAAACAAGTAGAACATCTTATTAAATTAAAATAGTATCAGTAAAAGGCTCTTAATAGGAAACTCTAAAGATTCAGTCGAGTTCGAAATAATTTAAATTTATTTCTCAATTTTTCAACTATTATTAAAAATTTCCAAAAAAATTCATAAATAATCTCGTGCTTCACTGTCACTTGTAATAGTTAACGTGATGCTAATATTTCCCAAAGAGAGAAAAGAAACACATCTGCTATTCTTTATTTTTTTCCAGCGCTCAATGTAATGAATCTGTGTTGGGGTAAGTTAGTATAAAACGCTAGATGAAAATGATCGTGCTACATAAAATAATCTGATATGAATCCGAAAATAATTAGTTATATATTTAGTTAGGTTAGAATATTCTTTTTCTTTTTAATCTTAATAGTTTTACTTATTAACACGACTTAGTTCATATACCGGAAAAGCATTATAAAGAAGTAACCGGCCCACTGAACACAAATGCATATTAAGAAAACCTTTTTTTGTTTGACATTATAGGAAGAACAGAAAGAAGAAGAAGAAAAAGAAGAAAAAAAAGGAACATTATTTTTTTTCCATTCATAACAAGTCATTGGCACGTGCTAAGGACAAATACAAAAGCTTACAGTTAATCAGAACTGGTAAAAAACAAAAAAAGAAGTCTATAAATGAAATAAATTTAGGTTCATCTATTATAATAATATTAAATATCAATTTAAGTGTTAACTGTTTTACATATAATGAAGGATGATATAATATAACTCTGTTGAAGTGTATAGTTTTATCATATTCTTTTTTAGATAGAATTAAATAGATTAGATTCTATCATGAGAATAAAATGAAGAAACTTCACAACTAATGAAATTACAAAGATTATAAATTTAATATTCTAATTCAAATATGGTTTGTAGTAAAATATAAAAAAAAGAACGCCATACTATCATTGTGTAAGTATTTCAAAATGCATATTGCGCAGTATTTTTTATAGTCGACTTATAAAAATTCTTCTTTTTTTTTGTTTTGTTTAAATAAATAAATTAAGTTATCGATGTTATTCATTTACTTAAAGAAAAAATTTTCATCTTATTAGAAAGACAATTCTATTAAGTTTTAATAAGACAATTGTATTCCTTGAGTATTTTAGTAAAAAGTTATTTATTTTTAAAACATCATTGATGTAATTAAATGATAAAACGAATGTAAAATTCGAATAATTAATTAATAATAGAATAAATTTAAAACAAAAAAAAATTTGTTTTTTGATATTTATGTTACACTTCATAATTATATCTAATAATAGAAGAACTCAATCGACTCCTATTACTTAAATATCATTTCAAAATAATCTTTATGAAACTAATCAAAAACCTATTCTTTCGCGTTGTTGTTTTGTTCATTATAGAAATAATCCGATTATCTACATTGTTTCTATTGTAAGCCAATATTTAATAACATATATCTTCGACCTAAGTTTTTCTTTTTTCTAATACAATATCTTAATGGTTATGATTCCGGTCACTCGATGATAAAACAATCAATTAAATAAATATTGATACGAAATAACACAAAAATACGCATATTGTATATGACAGAATCTTAAGAATGTTATGTTTCCTTTCTTAGTAGTTTTATTGGCCGTCTATATTGATCTAACGAATACCAAAATACAAGATTTATAAATAACATTACTTACTTTTTCACAGATAGAACGTATTAAAAGAAGTTTTTAGTAAAGATATCCATAAAATTCCTTACTTTGTTCTAAAAATCAAATAAAACATTTCTATTCTGTTGATAAATAATATTTCTGTAGGTTTTTTTTAATGTAGCAAATAAAGTATATTAATATGACTATGAAGGATTTTGTTCAAGTTTTATCCTTGATTAGATAGATAAGATGAAACAGTTTGTATATTTTTGTTAGTGTTTTTTTTCTTTATCTTATTCAATTCATATATTGACTGAAAATAGACACTAAATCTTGCTTTCCAATCTCGTTGATGTTTACAAGTAATTAGAAAAAATCAAATGCGATAAACAATCGATCTGATTGATAAATATTTGCAATATAGTTAGTAGTCATTTACGCGTATGGCACAAAAATCCTTCACTTAATCCGATAGAAATAATGTTCGCTCATCATTTCAAAATTCTAAAATTATACAATAATATTCATTGATCAACATCAGCTTGAAATGAACTATAAATTATTCTTTTTAGTCTCACTTTGATATTTATGCAATTAAATATTCAATTCTTTCATATTTAATATTATAAAAACCTTTTTTTGCTTTCATTTTTCAAATTATTGAAATCATTGCATTAAAATTTTATTGATACGATCACATGTGACATTAACCTTCAATTTATTTATAGTCTTGAATATGTTGCAATGCCATTATTCGTGCTTTTCTTCTAGGTTAATATTTTTTATCAATTTAAAAAAATAATTCTCGTCAATATTTGATTTGATTTTTATAGTTAAAAAAAAGCGAGAGAGGACAAGTGCATGCTTCATAGATACAAAACAATGTTCATTTGATAAGGATAATAAATTATATTTTATGGGATAGTTTCATCTGACATGAATATAATAAAATCGAAATAAATAGATGTATGTTTAGTTGTTCAGATAAAAATGAAGTCTAAGTTTTGAATTATATGATTCGTGTTGATCTTAATGAATAAAAGCTTGATTCTAAGTAGCATTACAAATGAAAAGCAAAAAGAAAAAGCTGAACATGTCACGCAGTTCACAGAAGATGAATAAAATGAATAAAAAAAAAAATTTGTTGAGTTCTTTAGTATATATGAGTAGTTTCTCTTTGTTTCATAATATCATTACAATATTAAAGAAAAGAAAGTTTATGAAGGACAAAAAAAAGAAAATAAGAAATTCTATCTTTGACAATAAAATTAATAATTAAGAGTTTTTCTTTTTGGAAGGACAAAAACGTTTGAATATATATACTATTTTCTTTCTCTTTTTAACACATATTCGATTCACTTTTGCTAATTATTCATTGGTTATGACTATAGAATAAAAAGTATTGCTTCGTTCTCTCGTACACTCGGTCGACAACAGTGATGACTAAAGATAGTTAACGACAACGGAGAAAAAAACTGCCCGACAACTCGACCGGGCCTCTCGGCTGATTTATTAGACATCTTCTCATTCCCTTCGTTTTTCTTCCCTCTTTTTCTTTCTGTTCTTCTCGCTGACTACACCATCTATTTTCATCGTTGTTGTTAATATAATAATAATAATATTATTATTTTCGAGAACGATTCTCTTCTCTCTTTCTCATTCGGAATAATATTACTTTTTTTCCACACACATAGACATTCAACTCGATAAGAATAAACAAAGACAACTTAACTACGGGTGACACTATACATTCATCTGCTCTCTTATTTTTTTCTCCTTAACTATCACTCTATTGACTAGGCATTGATGCGCATATATATATATATGAATCTATACAGGAAGAGAGAAGAAGTAGAAGAATTCGTTTTCATTTTCGAACAGTGACGCATGTATATTATTATAGAACGGGTAATGTAGAGAATGTGATCAAATTCTTTTTCTTTTCTCGTTGTCTATTTTTCATTGTACGAAAACAAAAAGAAAGCCAGAGAAGAAATAACTAATAGTTAGAAGCGATTTTTGATCATTAATTAATTTCGTCTTTTACTTGTTTGTTTCTTTAATTAGACATCGACATTGATATGGATGATAAAGAAAAAGAAAAAGTAAGAGTACAATATAACACATATGTCTATTACTAATAGAGAAATTCGAGAGAGAAAAGTTGTTAATCTCTTTTTAATTATTATTTCTTATTCTATCGACATACAAAAAAAAAGAAAGAAAGCCTTTCGATTTTGACTTTGATGAAAAGAAATGAGAAAAAATTGGAAGACTAAAAAGAAACGACTAGATTACTTTTTGATTCTTATATATATATATATATATATATGACCGTACCAAGACGGTTAATGTGTTGGCAATTAAACTTGGCCTATCTCTCCTTCTTCTCCTCTCTCACATAACACTATATATTCGTAAATATGCAAATCAAGCGCGAATAAACGAGGCTCGTATTTGTGTTAATCGTCGATCATTCTTTTTTTTTCTTCTCATTCTTCTCTTCTATATTGCACTTTTTTTGTGTCCTACTCTCTTTATAGACATTGATAGGTACTGTATGATGATGATGGAAGCATCATCGAATAGTCGAGATGGATCATTATCAACATCATTACAGTTATCTGTTGAACAATGGGAATTATTAAGACGTTTACGTAATAGTCATTTAACTAAAACACAAATTATTCGAGCTTATGATGAACTTGATCGTCTTGATCGTGAACTTGGAAATCTATTTAATACGGCACCTCCTTTATCATCAACAACTATTCCTTCTACTGATCCTGTCTCACCGTTAGCAATGATTACACAACAAATATCTCCATCATCATCATCTATACAAAATACTACTACTACCACTAATAATAATAATAACAAACGACCACATAGTCATGCTGTTAATGGATTAGCATCAAGATCTTCATCCACAACTTCGAATGGATATCATTCACATTTGCATCATCAAACAACATCACCAAATGTAAACGTACGGTCAAGAAATGGTGGTAGTGAAATAAGTTCAACAAATTCAAATCAATATGAAACAATGAATCAAAATGATATTGAAGAAGAAACAAGAGAATTACAAGAATTAATTTCGTATGTATATTTTTTTCTTCCCTTTTTCTTTTTATTTGAAAGTATAATATTATTAATTTATTTTGTTTCTATAAAAAGAAATGTTGAATAGACTAGAATGAAATAGAAAAGAGAATAAAAAGAAACTTAATTCATTTTGACAAAAATAAAAAAATGATGTACTGAAAAAATCCAATTTAAAATTGAGAATGACTATGTCGATAAGTTTATTATTATTTCATTGTCAATTAACAAAAGAATAAACATATCACAAAATTAAAATGAAACCTTACAGTCCTAAAGAAAAATAAATAAATGAATGAAACTATTTACCTTATCTTATCGAAAATTTTTATTACTTATTATTGAGTAATAAATATCAAGGTTATAAACTAATCAACAAATAACCATAAATTAATTTATTGCTTTTCTTTCTTATCGTAAAATTGACGTTGCAATCTTATCTCTTTTTATTATTTGTAATAAAGTAGTAATGATTGTATTTAATCATTATTAAATCAAAATTTCTTTTCTTTTTCTAGTAAAGGTGATGTTGCTATACATAATGAAATATCTGTATTTGTCTATCGATATGATCTTAAACAATCACAAATTGCTCGAATGGCTTGTAAGATAGAACTTATAATTACGTTCATAATATTTTATTTTTATTTTTAGCTGTTAATCAAGCATATGTATCAAAATTCTTACGTGGTGATTTATTTGATTTATCTGAAAATGGTCGAATGGCCATATGCCGTTGGTACATAAGATATAAAAAAATAGTTCAATCAATGGGTAAAATCATATTTATTTTTCTCATTAAATATTAATTTGATCTATAATGATAACATTAATGATCGTTAGTAAAGAAAAAATAGGCCCATTTATTTTTATGTTTGACCGATTGGTGCGATTAATTGTAAATTTCAAAATGAATTCATAAGTGTTCATTTTATGCTTTTAACCTTTCTATGAATACTTAAAAAAATTCAAATATTTAGTTAAATAATTGAGTACGATTTCTAGTAAAGTAAAATCTCATATGATTCAAATTGGACAATAACCCTTCGATGGATTGACAGTCAACCAATGGTAGTTCGACACTTAAGTGGTCGAATATCTTCTGACTTCCATTCTACCACGATATAGCGATAGTTGTTATCTGACCAACAATCTATTGTCGATAGTTACGGGTATCGCGATACCCCAATAATCATTATCCGACCAACAAGTCACTACCGGTTCTTATGGATACCACAGTATAGTGATAATTGTTATCCGACCGGCCATCTGTTGCTGCTATATCGATGATAGTGCGGACAAGCCCGTGACATGAGATATTCTAAATTATGAGACTTACTTCTCATACAAGACTTATTGATTAAATATACTACACATAATAATCAGTCAAAACATATCATATTTAAACTATAAATTTTATATAGTTATCGATCGAGTATTCTGTTTTTTTAGGTAGCGGTCCACCGTCTGCTGAATTCCTTGCTAATTTAACATCATCATGTGAACCACCAACAAAAGTGCCTCGTCTTAGTGAATCTCAAACAAATAATAATGTATCACCTGTTTCATTTGATGCACCAAAACGTACACGATTTACTTTCCGACCTGAACATCTTGATGTAAAATCTATTGAATTGAATTTCTTTTGAAACAAAAACAATATTAATAAATTATTGATTATTTTTATTTCAGATTCTCGAAAAAGCTTTTCTTGATAATCCATATCCTGATCCACGCCGTCGTGAAGATATAGCTCGTATATGTAATGAAGCACGAACACGTATTGAAGGTACCAATGAAGTATTAAATGAACGTGATCGTGTAACCGATGCTATAGTAACACATTGGTTTCAAAATAAACGAAAAATGGCTAAAAGTCAAAGAGGTATATTTAATTCTTTTTTATTTCTCATTACAGTAATATATTATATATATAATTAGTTTTTTTCTTCATTTAGTATCAATACATGATGAATCAATGCCATTAAATATAACAAATAATAGTAATAATCACATGTCAACAACGAATGATTTTGAAAATATGAATGGTGATGATGATTTACATATTCAACAACAAAAATCAAATGTGCCTATTGTTGATGTTGATTGTTATGATACATCAACATCATTACTTGATCCACAAATGGCTGCTTATCGAGCTATAATGAGTCGTATGGTACCGTTTGCTAATAATGTTAATGGTAATAATTCACCAAAACGACTTGTTAAACAAGAACCATTTCATACACAAGATGAATCAAGTCATGATGATGAATCGAATTGTTCGTCACCATTAAATGATCATTTGTCGCCGTGAATTTAGCAAAAAAAAAAAATATGAAAATTTCTTTATATAAATATAAATATATATACATACAATTCTATTCTTGTTTATTCTAGTCTTTGTCTGTATCTGTGTAATGTAACACAAACATTCCTTTTTGTTTCTTTTTTTTTTTGTTTCAATACAAATATAAAAGAGATTTTTCTTATATGGAATGATAATATACAATAGGTCGTTATCAATCATTTTAAAGTAGTACCAATAATGTTTTTTTTTAATATTCAACATTAAATAGTCCAATTGTTAGCCATCAGAAACAATGGCAAATAAAACATGAATTCTCTGTGAAGTCTGTGATTATTCGTTGTTCAAAAAGATTAAAATGCAATGATTATATCTTTACTATATTTGGAATTCTATTTGTTTATAAATAAATGAAACTTTTCTATCAAGACGATGTTTATTTGATGAGTACTGATGAGTAATAGACAAGTTTAGAATAATTTGGTTTGCTGAATTTTCGTTTTTGAGATATCGAAATTTTACTAGATTTTTTTTTTCAAGAAAAAGTTGTGGTTACGTGAAAAATCGACTTTCGACTTCAAACTTAGTACGAACAAAATTCTCAATGAGATAAGTTCATTAGATTTGTTATTGTTATTCTGGTATGTTCTATTGTGAGATATGGAATATTCAAAACTTTTCCATGTGTGACAGCAAATTTTGTTCATATATTTTCATTTCTAGTAAGAAAATATTACATAGTTACACATTTAACTAATCTCATTAAGAATTTTGTTTTTGTACGCAGTTTGAAGTCGAAATTTGATTTTTTACGTGACCTGAGAAAGGCGCAAAAACCGGTTAAATTTCGATATGTTGAACACGATGGTCCGGAAAATCAAATCGTTCTAAAATTTTCTATTACTCAGTAGCACTCATCAAATGAATATCATCTTGATCGGAAAGAGATTTGACATCTGGAGAGGTTTCCTCATCAGTCCTAAGTCTAATAATATTTGCCTGGCGAGAGAAGGTTCCAAACTAATCAACTACTTTTAAGTCAAGACTATGTACATTATATAGAACTAAATAAGCTATGAATACTTTGGAAACGATTCAAGCTCTTAACTTATTGCTACTGAGATATTGCACTTTTGAATAAAAGGATGTTTTTTTTTGCATCTTAATCTCGTTAAAGTTTGTCTCTGTACAAAATTACAGTCAGTTTTCCTAGTGTTCTTAATGAGGACTACGACATTCATTTAAAAACTACTTTCATTTTGGTTTACATAATGCATATAGTTCCGACTCAATACCGATTAATCACTTGTGCTATTTCCCACGTCAGTTCGATAGAGCTTTTGTATTCTTTGAATGTGGTTATCGATCAGCATTGATTTCATTTTTTATTTGCGTCAATGAGTAGGACTTATTTTAATTTAATTAGAGCTAATGTTAAAACTATTTGATATTATTTTTATATAATCTTGTCTGTATAATTCTTCAGCAAAAATTTTTTATTGGTTTAAAATTTCATTATCTTTAAATAGACTTTTCACAACTTTATTTATTCTCTTCACTTTAACATATCCATTTATTTTTATCTTGATGAAATAAACCTTTAGAAATGCTTAACAAAATTTCATATGAATATTTAAAATTGCATTCAGTATGTGCAAACTTTTTGTCAATGTTTTCTTAATAATTAATATATAATTTTATATTCATTCTAGGTAAAGAATTCGGTGGCATATTTTTTCTAGGAAAATTAATGTTTAAGCTTGTGCTTAGAGTAAAAGTTTTCCATTATTTTTCAATAGACAGTACTTATCAGATACATTTCTGTAACAGAAATTCATAATGCAACTTAAAAGTCATCTTAATCCCATTCCGCTCGAACAAATCTGTAACATATCCGCTCGACTGAAAAATGCTTTACGAAGCAACTACTTCATAAACTTTTTAAGCACTCAAGTTGAAATAAGTAAAATGTAGAAAGAAAAAATAGTAGCATTAATGAACGTGTAAAATAGTTAAAATGTCGTGGTGCTCTATCACTGAAATTTTGAGTACCACCTCACAGCAATACAGGGCTGGGTGGTATTAGAATTCAATTCGCAACCTCTGTTCTGTAATAAATGAAATCGTGCATAATGGCAACTAAAAATAAAAATATCTATGTTTCCTCCTACTTTTTATGCTGCAGAAGTCGATTATTATGTCTTCTTTTTCTTTTTTCTAATAAGATCTTTAATGAGTAATCTTTCCAGAAAATGTTCTATGATGAGAAAGAAAAAACAAGAAATGTTTAAGTATATGTTGTTTGTTTATTAATTGATGAGATCGCATTGCTTTAATTTAATTCATTAAATATTTAAATTTAAATGTCAATTGAATAGTTATGTGAATGTAGAAGTCTTGAAATATTTTTTGCAGAGAAAACAAGGGATAGTCAAGAATGAAGAAATATGAATTCTTTCACAGTTTCATAATTGTTAAAGTAAAAATAAAACAATGTCTACAATAGTTTTGCACTCACGGCCATATCAACGAGAAAACGTTTGAAGATGATTGAATAGTTGAAAAGAGTATTGCAGAAAATATATAGATTTTCCTATTTAAAATGGTGAAACTGTCTGTGATACCTCGATTTCTTGGGGTATTATCAAAACGCTGTTTATAGTTGCTCGACAAGTTAGAAATTCTCTTTCTATCAGTTCTTGAACAATGCTAATGTAACGAGTAATAAAAAGAACATAATGTGTAGTTGCTTACGAACGCTTACACACCATACTGTCGCATAAATACTAAAGCATAGTAAGTATTAGTTCATTATTTAATACACATTAGTATTCTTATCTTTCCTAGTATATGCAGATAAGAGGGTCTTGATTCAAGACTACAATTTTCTTCGAATAAAATATTGAAAAAATTAGAATATTTGTTTTTCAAAAGTATAAGCACCGTCTGATTTGAAATTGAGGACATAATAAGATTTCATTTACGTCATTTAAACCGCTGGAAAACTGTCGGTTAATGATGGTTCTTCTGGCTAATCTTTTTGTATCTCAGTGTATCAATATTTTTGTTGTCGCTTAGTTTTCCAGTTTTATTATCTATTAAAAATGGCGCCAAAAAATAGTAATCAGAGCTAGAAGCCTTAACCAAGGAAACATACATCCAGATCTACAGCCTCATCTCCTATTTAGAACACCGAAAAAAAAGGATTTTCTCATCTATGGTATTTACCAACGAAGAAAAGCGTCAAATAGAGAATATGTAAAAAATGTCAAATTTTTGTTAGATAACTTCATAATCTGAATCGTGTTGACTATTTCATAACAACATTACAAGGAGTTTTTCAAAGGATCCGCGTCATAACGTCAACTAGGTCACAATAAAATCTGTGGATTGATGTATGAAATAGTAAAGAAAAAGTGAGTAGGAACTTCACATTAATAAAACAAAACGAAGTTAAAGGAAAATTAAGTTTGCATTATATTTTTCAACGTTAGCAGAGAGCTCCAGAGTAGCATTCGAGTCTAATCCATTTAGCAATAAAAATAAGATCATTAAGATTTATTCGATAAAGATATTCTAACAATGTTTTTATTATATATCTGTATTTGGCTATAAAAGCCGTATGAAAACGTCGGAAAAAAAACGATCAGACTGATAGTCGTTTCTACTGGGATGTAAGCGATGATTATAACTCACATTGATTCATCTTTTCAGTGCATATATGCTCTTTTTTGTAAAAATCCAAGCACGATAAGTCTGTCATCTTGAAGAATAAGGTAACAAAGTTGAATTTCTAATCTTATATCGTATTGACAGACAATCGGATATTCCATCATGTTGATTACTCAACAAGTTTTTTCGTTAATGCAGCTGACGATATTATATCGAAGGTAATAAAAAAAATAAAGATATTTTATTGACATTCATTCCATTTTGTGTGAAAAATATATACATCGAGACTTTTTAGATAATGTATTCTATAGTATCGAAAATATAAGGTGAAGAAAACCAGTCTCTGTGTCGACCGTCAGTATGTATTTTGATAATGTTGCCGTGTGTGTCGCGATGGGTAATTGAAGATTAGTATATATTAATTGCCAATATTTTGAAAAAACTTTTCCCCTCATTCTGATTTTTATATTGGTTTAGAGATTATGATAAAGGATAGCAACAACAATTTATTAATCCCTTAACTATACATCGTTGATAGCATTTATTATCGATTCCACCCTCTTGTATTAAATATAATCCTCTCTGCCGGTTGTGACATTTGACATCGGTAATCGTCCTTTTTATGTTTAAAATGACTCGTTTTTTTCAGAACATTGTTCTTGAACTGACAGTTGCCTCACTATTAATTGTGCTATTTTCGTTATCTCTTTTACTTCCTCTTTAGATGACATTGGCATTAGAATACTACAACCTGCGAATCGAGTATGATCAGTTGTACCGGTACCATACTCTCTAATAGACGCATACAAGCATAAATTGAATCATACATATGTAAAAGAAAAACAATAAAGTCCTTTCGAAAAATCCTCAATGCAAAGATTCTTCTAAATTTTTAATAAGACTTTCAATTTTGAAAAGCATTATTGTAGAATCGAATTGTTCTCATTTTACTATTGTAATGTTACTATTATGTAGTATAAATGAAGTTATTGAAAATATTTGTCATAGGAACTAATGTGAAACCATCTCGTATTGGATCAATTTATAGTTGTGCACTACCGTCAATTCTACAATTTATTAATTCGTAAAACTATCAAAAGTAAAACAATTCTAATCATAGATGATTCTTTAACTATCTTCTGATAGTCTTCTAGAAATAAAATCATAATGATTTTAGAATACTTGGTAATATTCCATTTAATAGTCATGGTGCTTAAGGTATACAAATAAAACATTTCAGTAAAGATGATCAACAAGAAAAATTTGATGGCTTCAGAGGTGGCTGGCCTCTAGTGATGTTGATATTGATATTGCATCATAGTCCCTCATATTAATGA